GCCTGGAATGTTGCGGGGGAGTTTGTTAGTCCGAAGAACATGACCGTTGGTTCGAATAGTCCTTCTTGCGTAGTGAACGCTGCTTTCCAGCAATCTTCAGGGTGGATTCTAACGTTGTTGTACCCCGATCTTATGTCGATCTTCGTGAAGTACTTGGCGTCATAAAGTCGTTCGATGAGGGATTTAGGCAAAGGGAGAGGGTATTGGTTTCGTATGGTCCAGTCGTTAAGATACCGATAATCTTGACAGGGACGTAATTCTCCGCTTTTCTTTCCTACGAAAAAGAATCCGCTAGCTTGGGGGGATTTAGACGGGACAATGAAGCCTTTTCTGGTGTTTTCTTCAATAAAAGTTTTGACGGCTTCTCGTTCTTTTCCTGATAATGGATAAACTTTTGACGTCTTGGGTACGAATCCTGGTTTGAGATCGATATGATGATCTACCCCGGGCCTTTCAGGCGGCAGTTTGTTAAGGCCATCTTTGGCGAAAACATCTTGGTACTGGTGTAGAAAGGGGGGGACGAGTTCTTCGAAAGTTTTCTTCTGTTTTTCTATTTCTCCTGTGACTGCGAATTCTTGGGCTTTATTGCTTGTCTTCCCGAAGTTTTGTTCTCTTTTTGATGTTCCATCTCGAACGAGCGGGGTGTCGAAAGTTAGATCTTCGATGATGCGCACAGTTGATCCGTCAGTGGCGTATTCAACGAGTATTTCGTCGTTGGCTAGTTGATAGGCTAGTGGGTCGAGGACTGGAGATCTAAAATTTTCTGACCAAACGTCTTCTTTAGTGTCATAGTTGGGGACTTCTTCGTCCATTACTTCTTCTACAGAAGCGGTATAGGGGGAGGTGGTTTCATTAGTTGCCACCTTCACCTGTACTGGCTTCCGTAGTTTAGAGTTTACCCAATCTCGGGACGTTTCCTTTTTGACGGCTTTCTCCTGTTTGAAGAGTGGAGGAAGGGATTTTCTTCGTCGTCTCCTGTCGATGTTCTTTTCTATAGCCAACGATCTTTTCGTTGACGGAAGTGACACTGTTTTGGTTTCCCAATCGATCTGGGGTTTCAGTGCAGAGAGCCAAGGGAATCCCAGGAGGATTTTGTCTTGTTTGGCTAGTTTTGCTACATTGAATTTTCCGATCATAGTTCGCTGATCGATTTTGACCGTGAGTACGCAATAGCGGGAAATGAGTCCTCCTTGAGCGTCTGATCCATCTGCAGTGATGACAGGGAAAGGTCGAGAGAGTTTATGGGTTTTTATCTTATGCCTTTTGCAAAAGGCATCGCTAATAAAGGTTCCAGATGCTCCGGAATCGATGATCATGGATGTTTCGACGGTTTGTACGCGTTTATCGGAAAAAATGGATGCAGGAATCCTTAATTCATTTCTGGTTCCGATAGAACGTATTAGTCGTACATGAGTGGGATTTACTGATGTCGAGGCAGTGTCCCTTTCTAAAAATCCATCTCCACGAAGCGGCGTTCTACTTTGGTGAAGTCGCTGTCTTCTTCTTCCTCGACTTCTTTCGCTTTCTCTTTCATAATTTTCCTTCGGATCGGTGTTTTCCTTTTTGGGGTTTCTTCTTCGTTCTTCTCCTTCTTTCTCCTGATAGGAGTTTTGGAGGAGGAGGCGCGACTTTCGACTTTGTCGTCGCTGCTGCTTTCTTCCTCTTTGTTTCTCCGGATCTGGTCCCTTTCTCTAGGGTGGAAGGAGGTATTGTTGGCGCGATGTCCTACTTGGTGACATTTGAAGCATCTCCCTTCTTTGAGATGTTTCTTCAACTCTGCGTCTGACAGACGGCTTATGCGATCGACTTCCATATCGTCGCTCCTTCTGGGAACATAATGCTTGTTCCCGAAGTTCTTCTTCTTCTGCTGGTTGGGTCTTTCCTTTCTTTTGATAGCTTTCAATCTTTGAAAAGTGTTATCGAGGTTGATGCAGGTGTTGACTACGGTGTCAAAGTCGTCGAGACTTTCACCGGTACGGTGCATGCTGTCTTGGAGCCCGTAATCTAGACCTTGTCTGAAGAACTCGATAAGGGGGGCTTGTTCGGTCATCCCCGCCCTGTGTGCGAGGAGTTTGTAGTTGGAGATGTAGGTATGAAGGTCTCCTCTCATTTCTAATCCTCGGATTTTCATCATGGCGGTTCTGGCGGGGTCCATGGGTTTAAAGGCTTCGTCGAAGTCCTTTTTGAAGGTGGCCCAAGTTCCGTAACCGATCATTTGGCCAGAGGTGTCTTTCCTCTTAGGGTCTAGGGCTGCTTCCATGAAGTCTTCTGCCCATATCGCCGTGTTTCCCTTTGTCATATAAGACAATACTAGGATGATCTTCTTCTTGTCCTCGTTGTATACCTGATCGTTGATATCAAGGTACGCGTGACATTTCATCATGAATCTCTTAGATTCTTCTCGGTCTCCATCAAATTCAGGAGGGGAGCCGATCTTGAGTTCTATATCTTTGGCTTTGGTCGTCATGGTATTCAAAGGAGGGATATTTGGTAAGGCTCCTAGGTTCAAGGCTCCGATCAAGGGAGTTAACGAAGTCGTGGTGTCGGTTTCGTTGCAGATGGCAACGGTTCAGTTGATAAGACTTTAATCTTTTGTTACGACTGGGATGAGTCAAGCTATCCTTTGTCTGAGTAGACAATCGGTAAGATACCGGATAGACGTGAGTCTGCTCTCGAATGAGAGATCAAAGGTTCTGGCTAAGGCGAGTGTTGCTGACTCCCTTAGAATAGTGGTTCTTAGACAGTAAGGTTGGAGACCTTACTGAAGGACAATGTTCCAGGTAAAACCCAGTAGATTAAAGTAAGGAATACAACTGTAAGTAGCTAGGTTTATATACAAGTGTTCAAGCGGAGCTTGTAAATGTGTTATCAAGATAGAAGCGTGATAAGAGAAAGATAAGGCGGACAGCCCGCTTGGCGAAGATAGCGAAGATAAGAGATAAGCATGGTACGGACGGCCCGTTTCGTAAGTGAGATAAAAGAAATGAGTATAGGGGTTAAATGTTACTGTAACAATGTTGGTGTCCCTTGACAATGACTTACTGTGACTTTGGCATCGTATTTCCTAATAACCAACATCCAGGTAATCCAGGCGGTAACAGCAACCATCTTGTGGCCTGGTATCATTGTTTCACTATCCAGATGCTGGCTAAGATAATGATAAGGGTCCGGCTTCTGGATAGTCACGATTCAGACATCTCGCTAGAACTTGATGACCACCCTGGTGATAAGAGTTAGAGTGAGTCGGAGTGTAGAGGAGTGACACATCATGGATGAGGTTTGATGTGAATGCAGCATTGATGCCCTTGATGCAGCATGAGATAATACTTGAGTGCTGTCTGAAAACAAACATTGTATCTATTTGTGATGGTGTAGTCTTGTGTCACAGCGTGTCACGACTGCAGCAGGTGCGACGAGACCGCGTCAATTTCACCCAATGGCCCAAACCTGTGGTTCCAGACACATGCCTTTGTGTATATTGACACATAGTAAATACTTACATATTTTTAAAAAAGCGTGAAGCCGACAAAAATTGAGAGGTTCAAACAGGTTCAAACCTATTCACTGCCAGCCCAAACCCTGAACCTCAGAAAGGTTTGGTTCTGAGTCTTGGCCGAACCTTGGACCAGACCATGTGTCCGGTTCAGAACCGGACTGCAGCAGCACTAGATCGACGTCATAGATGGAAGAAAGAATGAGGTGTTTCTGAGCCGCTGAAGAGCTTGAGCCACCGCTGGGTGAGGTGAATGGATCTGGATTAATGACCGGGTGAGCCAAAGTCCAATGCATCCAGGAAGATGCTGAACTGACTGCAAATTTCCCACGTCAGACCGTCAATCTACCATCTGGATGGAGCTGAGGTTTTGGTGAGTACCTGTCTTTTCCTCTGCAAAAAAAATAACTGTTGGGCTGATGGACTGCAAATTGACAGTCCTCGGCTTTGCAGTCATGGCAGCTGCAGCATAGCCACTTGATTGATAATACAGGTGCACCCTACTACATTGTCCTCTCCTTGTCCTCCTCCTTAACATCCATGGCCACAGTGTTACAATAACATGCCGCCTTCACCCTATGCTCCCTCTTCTCAACTTACTGACATGGCGGAATGCTGCCAGAAGCCTAGAGCGGCCTGGATGCCGCTGGAGACCTAGAGCAGCCTAGAGCTGCTATGACATCACCCCTGGCCTAGAAGGCCTCCCAATCCCATCATGATGGCTGTCCGCCTCATGTAGAACTAGACCAACGTATGCCACCTCATGCGCTGATGGACTCAGGGGCCGGAGCGCCTCATGTACTTATCTTGACATAGAAGAGGCGCCTCAATGCATCTTATCAGACAAGCATGACTTGCCTCATGGATCTTATCTCTGACTAGGATAGATCCACAGATACAGACTCCTCCTGAACTATGTAGTTAGACCCTATATAATGTAGACACATATCATTGTATTCCCTACTTTGATATACTTGGTTTTCCCTTGAACATCCTTTCAGAGTGACCTGCAGTCCCTCTGTCCAGACAGCACTTCTAAGGCAAGCCGATGCTACCTTAGCCATACATCCGTTAGCCCTACAGCTTGACGAGCTGCCGTGCTTACCAAGCTCATAGGAGGATACCTCAGCATTCCGCTGAGCTTAGATACCGTCCTTCTGTCGCCAGACGATTAGCTATTCAGCTAGAGAAGGCTCGACCTATCCAAGTCATAACACACAGCACACAACTATCTCTCTTGCAAATACAACAGCTGCAGCTTGTCCTTCTCCGGCACAACGATGGGTGTCAATCATTTATGGGAGGTATGTACTATGTATTGCCCTGCTAGTATTTCACTTGGACAGAGACCTTATGCTCTGGCTTCACAGGTGCTCGAGCCTGCCGCAACAATAGTGTCCATCGTGTCCCTCGCCCTCTTGAATCGATATGCAGGACCTGCCCCTCACCTGCCCTCTGGACCTTTCTATTTTGCCTGGCTTGGCTTGCATGATTCCTGGTGCAACTCATCTTCTGCTATGATGGTGACCAGCAGCCAGAGGTCAAAAGAGGCTGCCACATGTCTACAAGAGACCATTGGATGGTTAAGCCCACGCAACGTATCCTGAATGCCTTCAACACACAATGGATCACTGTGCATTGTTGTTCTTTCCCTGCATTTGTCATTAATGTCATTTTTTGTCATTAAGGCTGCAGGTGAAGCTGAAGTGCAGCTAGCATTGATGAACAATGCAGGAATTGTTGATGCTGTTATGATGGATGACAGTGATGTCTTCGTCTTTGGAGCTAAGACAGTCATTCGAAAGTAAGCTCTTTGTTTTTGTGAGGGCAGCTACTAAATGGGGTTTCTTTTTCTCAGTTCGACATTCTCATCTGATGCGACCATCAAGCTTTACACCACGAGTGCTATCCAGGAGCATGTGGCGTCCTGCCTTATTGGTGATGCCTTTGTGATGATAGCTATCTGCTGTGGTGGTGACTTCGATATGGTATGTTAACTATCCTACAGACACTTTCTCTCACTAACGTCTTTTTCAGAAAGGTCTTGCTGGCTGTGGCCCTGAGACTGCTCTCCGTCTTGTTCGCTGCATGAACACCAGCATACTGGCACATGATAGCATTCCACTGGATCAGGCCCTGAAGCAGTGGCGGGATGCTGCTCGATACCATCTTACAGATGATTCCACTGGGAAACTAGGCCGAGCTCACTCTGCACTGGCCCGCTCGCTCGCTGAGTCATTTCCTGATCCCCATGTCATTAATCTGTATGTGCAACCTGCTGTCACCCCACTCGCAGAGTTGCCTGTTGTGCAATCTCCTGCCCCTCCTGATCTTGCTCCACTAGCCTTGGTCATCCAACAACTCCTGGGCTGGGAGCCAAAAAAACTTGTCAGTGCCTTTCATTCCACCATCTGGCCTGTGGTTATCTTGCATGAAATGCTCAACGACCTTGCCAGCAATTCGCCTGCAAGTGACAAGGTAAGTTTTCAGTCATTCTACACTACTAGACACACTGGTACATACTGTTCTGCAGAATGATCTTGCCTCTTGCTGCACAAGGGCAGTGTTCCAGTGCCGTGCTAGGTGCCCTAAGAAAGTTCTTTCGGGCATTGCAGGACATGATAATGATGTACCTGTCGGTGATCTGGAGTGGGCCACACTTCACCTGCTCGAAGGGCCAACTGGAATCTCTACTTCTCAGGATGATGAGAGATCATCAAGCAAGTATATTCAGGTGTGGCTTGCAGACCGGATCTACGACTGCTGGGTACAGACAATGGTCCCGCTCTCTCCAGGGCCTTCAAATTCTCATGCAAAAGATTTAATTGACCTCAGAACACACCAGGGCCATACTCCCCAGCCATCTGCTCCTGCAGTCTCCATGGCCACCATGTCTTCTGTGGATATCATTGACCTCACCGAGGATAAAAATGTGACTGGTGGTGCGCTCATTGATGACACACAGGGTGAAGGAGACCTACCAGGGATCATTGATCTCACAGGTGAAGGTGAAGATGCTGAAATCATTGACCTTACTATCTGACTGTTTGTGTAAATGTTTGCTCCAGTATAGTGTAATTATATGTTGTTCTTCTACGAATCTTTTTCGTTTATCTACTCTTGCACTCGGTGTAATGAGACAACAATTGCTTGACACTACACAAAGTAAGTAACCAGCAATATAAAATGTTGTGGTCTTGCGCAGCCTAGTCTGCTATACTTGTAGACAAGTGCATTCGACCCAAGGGGTTAGCTATCTGGTATTAGTCCGAAAGTAGTGAGATAATAAGTGATCAAAAGTCCGAGCACGGGAAATGAAGTCTGAAGGTATAATTATGAGTCTGACGCCAAAGTGTCGGGTCCAATGTTTTTGGGTTAGCGGGTTTTGGGTGTGGGTTCAGCAGATTACAGAGAATAGTGATAGTGAGTGTTGGGAAAGCGAGCGGTATGCGGAATATCGACAATGACAGGTGTTTCGGATAGAAAGAGCGGTAATATTCGCAATGTCAACTAAGAACTATGAAATATCGGGTTTGACCACAAAGCGTCGGGGAACAGCTCCCCACTACTTGGATGATAAATAATGCTCGAGGTCAGTCCAATATATATGTAAGTACGTAGAAATGCAGAACCTGTAGGCAAAAGTAGCAGCGGAATATTTCGGATCCGAAGTACGTGTAAATAAACATGAGGCACTGCGGACTATGGGAAAACATGTAATAGCGCTGGCTACGACATGAGTAATGTGCAAAATAATCAACTACACACCTAGTGGGGCTAGCAAGACAAGACGGCACATGGATAGGACAAGTGCACGGGAAAATATCGGGTCCGCTGCGGCCGAAATGTCAGGTCTGCTAGTCAAAGTGTCGGATTGAGTGGGAAGTGATTATCGTGCAACGGGCATTGAACATGAATCGTGAATCAGCTGAATACAAGCCTAGCACAAGCTCGAGTGCTACATCGGACTGTTTCATTATCTCACATCAGAATCTACCATTACTCTCCAGTGTATTAGTACAGTCTCAAGCATAATGACAGGTTCTACCACAAGCATGGCAAGGGTCCTTGCTCCCATCCTTCCCAATCACAGATGTTCCTGAAGTACCATCTGCATACCTTGTATAAAAATTGGCATTCACCCCGTCTGAAGGAGTGAGTACCATAAGGATGTGGGTCCACACCAATATCCAGGAGGTTATTACAGAAACATTCAAGGAATGCATCAGAGGTCTACAAAATTTATGCAAATTATGAGAAGCTAAGCAAAGAAGCATAGAAAACTCACCATGCCATCAGTGGGATTGACACTGATACTGTCTATGCCAATTTTCTTAAAAACAAACCCATCAAGATTCTCACACTTCTCCCTTGCTAGCATCCACCAAACTGCAAATGTTTGCACCAAGCACATCCATGGATGTTGCTCATCAGCATATACGTAGAATGGTGCTATCCCTGTACAGTTGCTAGTCAGCTCCAATATGTTGTGCATTCTCATCAAGCAACATACCTCTATATTGATGTGTTTTCCTGAATGACACCTCGAGTCTCACACAAAAGTCAGCAGGTCGGAAGCCCTCACCCTGGAGCAATAGTTCTGTGGAAGCATCAAGCCAGTTTCCTTCAACTGAGTTGTCCTTAACTTGGAAAGTGATATCTCCCCAAGTAATCTGTAACGCCTCATCATAGTGCAGGAGACAGATCATTGAAACCAAATAAAGTAGCAGAAGCATACTGTGGATCACAAACCCTGCCCACTCTGCTGAATTTTCAGCTTTTCGTTTGCGAGATGTTGGTCCATACTCCTTGCATGGTGTTGCCCAGACGAAATCCCATAGGTGCTTCATAGTTACTTCATCTATGGCTTGAGCACTTGTGATAGCTTCACCAGACCATACCTGACAAATGATGTCAGCCAGAGTTGCAAAGGAAGATGTACAAAATACTTGCCTTCCTTTGACAAAGACTAACCATGTATTGTGAGACTGTGACTGAGAGGGACAGGTTTCTAATTGACTTTCCAGCAATTTTTGGATGTTCTGACCATGGCTGTGTGCCAAGCTTGTGGTCATGACCAAACTTGTGGCTCACAGCAGCTCGCATCTTCTGTGCAGTGCCATATGTTGCACACAGGAAATTCAGAGGCTTTGCCTTGCTAGTCCAGATATCATTTCCGTCACATCTATGAACTCTGAGTCAGTATGTGCAGCACAAAGAAGTTCAAATGGTAGTACAACTTACTTGTCCATTATCCAGAGTGCAATCCACATGGGAAAGTCAGCAGGAAGATTAGGATAGAGGCCATTAATGTTGTCAGCCAACACAACCTTGTTTATAGTGATACAAAAGTCCTTAAATTAATTCCAGTACCTGTACTGTGTGTTAACAAGGTTTGCAGACAGAATATGATATGTACCACTGATAATCTTACAGAGTGGTGTCAACAATAACACCTGCTGAGGCTGTTTTAAGGCTTGCTGACAGTTGGTCATGGTGCACTGGGACAGCAGTAGGTGTCCTCTTATGTTTCGATGACAGGGTGTTAGTTTCATTTGTGCTGATGCGCAGTGTGCCACAGGTGGCCTTATTGTCGACATTGAAGCTATTGAGGAGGGATTCTACCTCCTCATCTTGGTCTTTAGCTACAGCTTTGACACTAATGCCTTAGGAGTCAACGGGATAAGCAGTGACACTCTTGAGTTGAGCTAGAGACATCGCGAGTGACAAGTGTAGGTATGAGATGGCTCAGACTAGCTTACATGCAGATGTTTCTGACATAGTGCAGAAATGTTTTGGTTTGATTTGCATTTAAGTGTGAGAGCTACTATTTGACACACCTTACTCACTCTGGGCAAAATCATGCTGGAATCTAGTGATGAAATACTCTGCCTACCCATCCTTGGCCGGGAGTACACACCTGGAACACCACTCATCACCTATCAATTCCTGGTGTAAGCAGATCCAGGCCCCTAAGACGTGCACAGCATACTGAAACATTAGTTTAATTTGCTTACCAACAGAAACTGAAGAATGACAAAGTTCAATGTCAGAGAGAAGCTCAGACAGTACAGAAGGCCAGTGAGTGGTAACTAAGAGGAATTGTTGCAGTGCCTTTGAGTATTAGTGGGACTCAAAATAACTTCCAAAACCTTTTGGAAACTCACATAGAGCATGGCTAAAACCTTCCAACACCTCAAGCAACTCAGCCTCAATTCAAAGTCAGTCCGGCATGGTATGGCAGAGTTTTAAAACATGCCTGCTACTCACCAACATGTTTGTCATTCTGCACGACTTCGAGCCAACACTCGAGTGCACTCAAGAGCAATGGATCCTCAAGCATCCACCTTCAAAGGACAAACTGCTGGCCCCGCAGTCACACCAGGACCCAAGATATCAATTCAATGGCAGGGCGAAACTGCTCTCACTGATGCCCTGGTAAACTATCTAACCACCCACCCACCCCTTTGATTGCAGGATCCTATTTTATTCGGAGGGGAAGAAAAAAGATGGTGGATGCTGATGACAATCCCATTGGCAAGGACAAAGGGCATATCTATAGTGCCATCGCCGGGCTCATTTTTGCGGATCACATCAAGTATGGCGCCGCATACCGTCAAAATCTGAAGAAATTTTGCAATTCAGTCTCCAACCAGATCTCAGGGTAAGTCCTCTCTTATTTTTTTTGTGCTCGCATATGCTGATTAAACACATCAAGACTCAGGACAAAATACAAACAGCACAAGGGCAGGTTCACGGCCACGGGCACTGGCATCATGCCACATGATGGGCAGTCTGCACAAAATCTCTTAGGTGAGTCCCTCATGCCTTGTCTTTGGTCTGTGGCTGATTGATTTTTGTAGCACTCATTCGTGCAGACTTTCCTTGGTTCTTGGATCTTGATTCCATCTGGCACAACAACTCCTCCATGGCGGCAAAGACTTACTCATCTCAGCTAGGCATTGATTATGCTGGCACACTGTATTCGCTTGTCCAGCCACATGGCAGGGCTGGCCCCTCAATGCACTTTGGCACCACTGCTGGGGCTGGTCCCTCCATACCGGCTGCTCAGTCCTCCCATGCATATCCGCCCTCCAATCTGCCCCCCTCCACATATCCTCCACTGACCTCATTCATCAATGAGCCATTGAATGCGAATGTTCCACTGACCTCATCCGTCAACGAGCTGTCGAACACAAACATTCCCCAGAGGCTTCCCAGAATGCCTGACCTACCCCCTGGCGCATATCTACCCTCTAACACATATTCACCCCCCAATGCATTCCCCTTCCCAAACACTAGTACTCCCCCTTATCCTTCCTTCCACCTTCCTGGACTCTATAATTCCCCTGACATCAATATCTGTGATGACTTTGGAGCTGCCAACAACAATAATGACTTGTATTTGGAGGGCACAGGCCCATTTTCTGTGCCCCTTGGAGATGCACTAGAACATCTTAACGGTGATGAGATGATGGACCATAATGGGGATGCTTGAGAGACGCCTCCCTGAGCCACAGGGAAGAAACACCAGCTCCCAACATCCCCATCCCCTCCTCCTGATGTTCCCTCCCCATTCGAAGTCCCTGCGAAGTTGCCAACGTCATTTTACAACAGTCACTCAGTGTTTGGTGCACAGAAGCCATCCAGCCGTGGGGGGCAATGTAAAGTGTTGTCGGAGATGTCCCACAGCATCTCGACACCCTCGTCGATGACTTGCAACACTACCCCCTCGTTGGACTACCATATGTCGCCTACCCTGCAGACCTCCCTGCCAAACAGCGTGGGGGCTTGAAGAAGAAGAAAGCAAAGTCGGATGTTCTGCAGGAGGTAGGCCACATTCGGGACGAGATCAAGAGCATGCATTCCAATGCAATGTCATGCCACGATAGCAAGCATCAACACTTCCTCACAAAGCTCGACGCGAAGAGCGAACACAATTGTGACTCAAAGAAATATGAATGGCTTCGCGGTGCCCGCGAGCATGAGGCCTCCCAAGCCACTGTCTCCCATCAACGTCTGCAGGAGCAACAAGATGCCGAGATTCACCTTTGCGAGACGGATATTTGAGTGCATGAAGTGCATTCGTTGGTGCTCGACAAGGAGGCCAAGACCCTCCGGCTCAAGATACAGTTTCACCAGATGATGCAGGGCAACAGGACCCCAGCATTGGATGGAGCTGCATGATTCATTTGTCGTTGTTGTCATCATCATCGCACTTTGTTTGTTGTTGCTGTTACATGTTGTCGCTATCATTTTATTTGTACTACCATCATATGTTCCATTTTTTGTTGTTGCTATGTTGTTGTTTGTCATCGTGTTGTCGTTGTTGCATGTATGTTTTTCTCCTACACTGTTCTCATTCCTTCCTTCATTGGTACTGCTCTGATTCAAGTTGGTGTTACATAGGTACATATATATGTTGTACATTTGGCAGTAGCACATGTCAAGTAGTACATGTCAATGTGATCCTCATCCTGCCCTATGTTGTGCATTAGATTGAGGACTGTCAAAGAGCTCATCCATCAGCTTTGCACAAGTAGCCTGACCTGGAGTGCCCTCATATGTCCTGTCACCAACTACCTCATCACCATCTGGAGCCTCAAACTCTTGAGCAATGAAATCTTCACCCTCTCCATGGTCCCACTTTAGAGAACTCTCATATGTTTCATCCTGTTTGCAACAATTGATTTCAAAGCAGATGATCATGTTGTGCAGGATGATACAACCCCAGAGTGGCTGCATTGAAATGTGAATGAACGGATAAGAGACCACATATGCACAAGAGTGACTGCAAACCCAGAGTGGCTGCATGTAGCAGAGAATTGGAACTTTGGCGGATGTTAGCAATGGTCTGGTGGAGGTCGATAAAGGCTTGGCAGATGTTAGGCTATGATGGTCTCAGAGGTGGAGGTCAACAAATCAGCACGCTGATGGTGGTGGAGATTCAAACTCTGATTCAAACTCCGACAAATCAGTTGGAGATCAGACGAGCTGATAAGAGATCACACTGTGAATTCCCCAGCATCATGCCTCATCAATCCACACATAAAAACATCTTGAATGCTGTTGATCAGGCTGCACTTGTATTAGCCAAGTTGCAGTATCAGGATACCCTCGACAACTGGTCAGACTTTGAGTCTGACACCAACTCTGACCTGGACTCGCTTTCAACTTCAGATGATGATAATATCAGTCTGTCTTTTAGCCCTCCATCCCTCATCTCCCCCATCTCCCCTATGACAGGGGTTTCAGATTCTTCCAGTGACGAATCCGATAATGTTGCTGCACCCTATGACAGGCTCCAGGATACCATTGTTGCTCTTCGTGATGAGGTCAAGAGGGCACATGTACTCCATAAGCCCGATGAGCCCCCTCCACAAGCACCTCAGCTTCATATGCTGGTTCACCACGAGGAACACCGCCCTCACCTGTTTTGGCAAAAACTTCATGTCAACCCAGAGATCTTTGACAATATCCTTGATCATATCTCTGATCACCCTATCTTCCAGAACCAGTCTAACAATCCTCAGCTCCCCATCTCCATCCAGCTTGCTATTTTTTTGAATCGTGCAGGCCACTATGGCAATGCCATTACTCTCGAGGATGTTGCTCAATGGGCAGGCATGAGTGTTGGGTCCCCTGGATGGTCGCAGTACTTGATGCCCATGATCAGTTTATCTGCTTCCCAGCAGGGGACTCTGAGGATAGTGACCTGGCTCGGAAATTCGCTGAGTCACGTACTTGTCCAGAGTGGAGAGGTGGCTTTCTAGCCATTAATGGCTCAACCATGGATCTGTTCACTAAACCTGGTTATTATGGTGAGACATTTTATGATAGGAAGTCCAAGTATTCTCTTGGCTGTCAGGTATTTTTTTTCCATCTTCATGTGCAAAAATTAATTTAATTCTAGGCAGTCATCTTGCCCCACAACCTCCTGATTGTCAACTACTCTCTTGGTCACCCTGAGAGTGTCCATGATGCATTTGCTTTTTGATCTACTTGCCTCTATAAAGAGCATGCTGATCTTCTGCCTGATGGTCATTGGGTTTGGGCGGACAGTGCCTATTGGAACCATGGTGTATTGCCCCTTTCAAAAAGCCTCACAATGGACGGCTGACAAAGAACCAGAAGACATTCAATTATCACCTCTCTAAGGTATATTTTTTTTTGGTGGTTTTTAATTGATTTACATTTATTTAGATTTGTGTTCGTGTTGAATACACATTTGCTGTTTTGAAGGGACGGTTTCAGTCCCTTTGAGAGCTCTGTTTCAGGATTTAGCCGGAGAAAGACCTTGATTTTGCTGTGCAGTGGATCAAGGTTTGCAGTCACTCTCGCGCACATGTGGTCTCTTATTTGTTCATTCACATTCATATCTGCTTGTATCCAGTCATTCTCACTCATATCTACCTGTTTACACTCATTTACAGCTGTTCATTCATGCTTGCACACATTTTGTTATGCATCCTAATGGTGCTCAGTCATGCCAGTCCCCAACACATTTGCACTTCTCCTTGCAGCCTGGTTGGGCCCAAGCCACGGCTTCAAGTGCCAACACATGTGTCATCCCGCACAGCTTAGAGCCAGCGCTCCAGTGCGCCAGGATTGAGGGATGTTTGAGGGAGGATAGTAGGGAGCCAGGGAATCCTGAGTAGACAGCAGGCTGAGCAGACAGAAAGCTTTGATTTCCTCTCTCCCTCCATTGATATTCAATTACATGTTAGCACATTAACTAGCTACAAATATATTTGTCTTATCCTTAGTGCATTGAAATCTCCTAAGTGCTTTGAAGTCCGCTCATATGCATATGTTATGCCACCTGTGCCGCAGCTGTTGGACGCTGTTCTAGCCAAGTTTCTCGATGCCTTTAGGCGGTGTTAGAAAGTTTAGCTGTGCTCTATGTGAGTTTCCAAAAGGTTTTGAAAGTTATTTTGAGTCCCACTATTCTCTAACGACAAGAAGGAATGGCTGAGGTGTGCAGCATTGAGATTGAGCAGTATCTGAGAGTATGCCGATTGACTCATGAGTATTGCAGCTTGTTCCAGCTGAAGCTCAAGCGAAAGCGGGGGGAACATACCTCTCGCAAGACCTTGTCCCACAAACAGGTCGAGGATACATTTGGGGTAGTGCCACCAACTCTCACTTACAAGAGCAAAAAGAGTGCGGATCGCACTGTGAACACATTATGGGTTAGATCTGCGCTGAAAACGACAATGAAAATATGAAATTATCTTTAAAATCTAATATATAGTAGCAGTCTTCTCATTTTATTGGGTGTACATAAATAAGTTTATGTTTTTAAAGTCCTTGTCTCACCTACCAGTCATTTTATCAGTCTTTAGTTTTTGTCTAAGCTCTACTGGCTTACATGAGATCTTTCAAACACTAAGAACCTTTCTGCTAACTTACATCTATCTAGCCATTGTTATTCTCTTTAAATTGACTAGCTCAAATAAATGTTAGTATTTCATATAAGTATGTGATTTGTAGTGTCAACAACACTTACATTAATGATCACTATCAGCCTTATAAGGGAACCCCTGGCACTTAATTACCACATGAACCCTGGAATATAGAACCTACTCCCTATCTCAGTGCTATATCTACTTCTTTGGTGGAACTACTTACAGAGTCCTCCAAGCAGCAACATGTAGCTATAGTCCTACAAACACCAGAACCTTTAGAGAAAATTATTATAGATGTAGGGGACTTTGGAAGTAGCCTTTATTCCACCAATGGCTCTCAAAAAAAATGCTAATGTCATACTTCTGCAGTATCAAGTCATGATGACTGGGGGTGTAGCTGGACTTGAATATTCTGCAGGCTCAGATGAATAGAAACACCTCCATAGTGGACCAAAATTTGAAGCTAGAGACCTATGGAATATACAGCCTTGCAGTCCTCTAACTACATCTTCCACTACCCTACACATAGATACTTAAATGATGGATCAAAAGAAATCACTAGGAAAATGTACTTTAAGCTATCAAAATAGCCTTCATAACTATCTGAACTTGTATAATGAGGCTGAGTTGCTGGAAGTAAAACACTCTTCTAGGGCACAAGAGATGCCTGGGGTTGAAGCCATATAGTCTGTACATAAAAGACTATGTAGCTTCAGATAGTAATTATGGTGCTAAATAAGAACCACAGTGTAAAATGAAGGAATGTCATAATGAAATATTCAGCTTTGTAAGGCAGGGGATTCAAGATAGTGGTAGGCATCTTCTTTATCAGAAACCTCAATTTGAGGCTCAGCTAGGTAGTCATAATTTCTCTCAGCATCCTCACAAAAGATAGAACTAGTATGATATTCTGTGCACATAATTATAAGCCTAGCAATAGTAATATGATCAGGATGAATCATAATTTCTATCACTCTGGCACACTCTTTAGTCTTTTTGGAAAATGATTTAATAAACATGAATGTTATGGGAGTTTAATTACATCATTAAGCTTGCTCTTGTATATAAGTTGTTACTCTTATTATGTGCAAACTTGTACCTTATGGCTCTAACTCTACTAATCACAAATAGCTAACTACACTTAGGTAGCTTACAACTTCATCTGACACCTACTTCAAATGAATAAATGCTAACACAGTGACTAGGATTCAAACAAAGATTATCAAATAATGAAAAGTGAACAGTAGGTACATCTATGATTGCTAGCAAGTAAGCTAAACAAACAAGAGGTTTGAACTAAAATACTGATTACAATAAGCTACCTATATACATATATTGAAACAGAGATTAAATCTGAGTTCTAACTACTAGTCAATCAGAATAATTAAAGGTATCATATGATTCAATATATAACTATGATGTCATGGCATATACTGCAGCCATAGTAAGACTCTAAGAAGATCATGTGGTATGAGGTCATCTAGTCTAGGTTCTTCTAATAGGTTATATAATTTAGATACAGGTACTTTTGGTAATTCTACAATAGACATTATAGTGAGAACTTCTTCAACAGTAAATACATTCTTAGAGATAGACACTATGACTGGGTGCTTAAAGGACTTCAAATTCAAAAAGGAATAATGGTTTGTATTTGAAACTTGTGACACCTTGATGATTTTAACTTTAGTGTACTGCTGTTTGGTAAGCCTAAGTAACAACACATCTGCATTTAATCTGCAAAGTAGTAATAAGTGAATCATGTATGTAACTACAAGATATCATTAGTAGGTGAGGCATTACAAGAGTGCAAGTTGAATATAGCAATATGGAATAAGATAACTCAGATGATAAATGTACTACAATACACAAAGAACAAAAACTACAAAATTAAAGTGCCTGTTATTTTAAAAATAGACCTGGTCACCATCAAATGTTATGTGATATAGCCTATGCCAACTCTCAAATTACTTAGAGGTTGGCAAGATTCAGCATAAAGTAATAGAAGTTTCAAAGATTGATGTATTTTGTAAAAGAGTCATCATTCTATATCTTGTCATGCTACAGGACATTCACTTTGCTGACTAACACAAAGCCTAGTAGAGTGGATATCTTATTCTCTACTTTGAGGGTAACTAGCACTTGACTAGTCATAGTACAAAATGATACTGTTTTTGGAATAACAGCAGCACAGATGTTCATCAATAAGTAGTAGTGGGAATCAGAGTAGAGTTCTAAACTCGCTAGAGTGCTCGGTAAAACACCGGCTAAGCGCTCTAGCACAGCCAACAATGAGGAGTCGGCCGGCATGAAGTCGGAGTCTAAATAACCATGCCTGCTGTCCGCCAACGTGTCCGCCGTTCTGCAAGGCTTCAAGCAAACGGTCGTACTCGCCCAAAGGCAATGGAGTTGCCCCAAAATCCATCCACATCCCATGGAAAAGGGAAATCTTGAGGAGGTGGGTCCAACCCCACTCATAATCAGCCTCCTAAGGCTGCCGGACCAAAGATAATCGTCCATTAGACTAGGGCCCAAGATCTCCACCGCACAGACACTCTCGTGACCCACCTTACCACTAATCCTTCCGATGCACGCACTCTTTTCTATGAGGGGAAAAAGACCGCCAGTTCTAGCACTGAGGAGTGTCCCTCTGGCAGGGACAAAGGGGACATCCATCGAATCTTGTTGAAGCTGATCTTCGAGAAGGACTCCGAATATTCAGCGTTATACGCTGAGGACCTGAAAAAATTCGATGTATCAGTGGGCAACCGCTGCACTGCGTAAGTGGCCTCCTTTATTCGGATTTTTTGCCACTAATTTAAATATTTAAAGTCTTAGGAAGTTATTTAGGGATCACCACGATAAGTTCAATAAGACCAGCACTGGCGTCACCCTGCTTGACGAACACGCGGCCGCCAATCTTCACAGTGAGTTTTTTGTCATTGTTTTTATATTTGTTTGATTTATTTGATTTAAAGAACAAGTATTACTTGAGTTCCCTTGGTACGACCAGCTCCACCCATTCCTCTTCTCCAATCCAACAATCAGCGCAAAGATTTTCACCTCCCAGCCGGGAGTTGACCACGCCGCAGATTACTACTCACTCGTTCGTCCATGTGGGGGGGCTGGTCCCTCTACAAACCCACCCGGTCCTCAGCTCCCTCAGCTCCCTCAGCTCCATCCTCAAAACCCTCAGCCCCCTCCCCCAGACCCTCAGCTCCCTCTCTGGAGCCCACCTGACACTAGCGCTCAGCGCACTCCTCCAAGCATTCAGCCCGGTCCCACGGGCGCTCAGCACACCCCTCCAAGTACTCTGCATCCCCCCCCTCCTCATTTTTCCGGCACTGGGGGCAGTCCAATCGATGATCCAGATGGTGACCTCGACGACGACCCCCATGCCGACAACAATGGTCCTTTTTTTGCCCCCCTTGGCAATGCACTGGGTATGTTGGACGGGGGGACGTTGACATGGACGATGACAATAGGATGGAGCTTGACCCCTCCCGTCGTTGTATCATTAGCCTTGATAGTCCCCCCAAGTCGGTGGGACAGAAGCGGCCATACACAGCTTCTCCTTCTCCCCCTCCCGTGGAAAGAAAAACACCTTCCTTCTCCCGCAGAAGCCCCAGACGCTGACATACCACAGTTGCAAGGCATTTGGCTCTGCCTCCCCTGGTGGCCAGGTGCCACGTAAACCTTCCTCGTTTGCATCATCGTCAGGGATATCGCGCAGCCATTCCACTCCCTTGTCCACGGCGTCTTCGTCCTTCATATCGACCGACTATTGTGTTTCACCAACGGCATCCCAGACATCGCTGTCTGCGAAGCCACGGAGCTCGGCCAGCTCGAAGAAGAAGTGAGCCTCTGCAGTGGACATGGAGGACAACCTCAACATGCTCAATGAAGATATCCGGAGCATGCAGACCGACATCTCCGAGCGCCGGGAGTCGAGGAATGAGCACTATGCCATCAAGATGAACTATCAAGCCCAGAAGAAGGATCTTCAGTGGCGCCGTGAAAATCTTTCACACAAAGTCCTCATTTCGGCCACCACGCATCAACGTGAGCAGAAGGCCAAGGACAAGGAGATTCTGCACCTTCAGGCTGCAGCTGCCCTGCAGGAAAGGGAGGCTGAGACCTGGCGCCTTAAGATCCAATATGAGATGATGATCCGTGCCGCAGGTGCCGGTCCCTCATCCTCGTCACCATCAGTCTGAATATGTGTTGTGATTTTCGCATTTTTTTCATTGTTGTTGTCATGTTAACTTTAGCTGCTTGATTGTTTTTTTACATACATCTGTTGTTACATCTGTTGAATCTCTTGTAGTAGTACATGTACCTTATGGTTGCCAATATGATTCTGGTCCTTTCAAGCTACCCTTCCCTGTGTTCAGCTCTTGAGTGAGGACTGTCAAACAGTTGATCCATCATCCTCAAACAGGAAGCTTGCCCCAGAGTACCCTCATATGACCTATCACCCACAACTTCATCTCCATCAGGATCTTCCATCTCTTGAGCTGCAAATTCTCTGGCCTCCCTTTCAGCCCACCTCTGAGAACGAGGGAATTTCGCATTTTGCTGGTGATGGTGTGCTTCAAATCGAATGATCATGTTGTGCAAGATGATGCAACACAATCCAATGGACAGCAATCTGAAGCTCTCTTTCTGTGTGAATATTGAGGCAAAGCTCTCAGAGGGATTGAAACCGCCCCTTAAGAGCAGCAAATGCATGCTCAACACGCACACAAACCTAATAAAAATAAAAATCAGTCACCAAACCATCACAAAAAATCACAAAAAATATGAGCACACCGTGGAAAGATGATAATTAAATGTCTTCTGGTCCTTAGTCAACCTTCCATTACGGGGCTTCTTGAAAGGGACTATGCACCACTTCTCAAGTGGGTATGCACTGTCAGCCCAAATCCAATGGTCATCTGGCAGAAGGGCTTCGTGCTGTTGATAGAGACGAGTTGATCGGAAAGCATAGGCATCGTGGACACTTCCGGGATGACCAAGAGCATAATCAACAATGATAAGGTTATGAGGCATAACAGCTGCCTAAAAATATTTAATTGTTGACCATGAGGGGAGGGGGAAAAAATACCTGACAGCCAAGGGAATAGTTAGATTTCCTGTCATAGAATGTCTCACCAAAATGAGCAGGTTTAGCATAGAGATTAATTGTGGTGCCATCAACAGCTAGAATGCCATTGCGCCACTCAGGACAAGTCTTGGACTCTGCATATTGCCAAGCAAGCTCAGCATCCTCTGAATCAGGGTGTGGGAAACCAACAAAATTGTCATGCTGGTCAAGCAGTGCAATTATCACACGATTTGTGCAATTCACAACTGACCCAACATTTATACCTGCCCATTGGGCAACATCCTCGAGAGAAATCGCATTGCCATAGTGGCCAGCACGATTGAGAAAGATAGCAAGCTGGATGGAAATGGGAAGCTGGGGATTATTGGATTGGTTGAAAAATATTTGAAGATCAGAGATTTGATTGAGGATATCGTCAAAAATGATAGGGTCAACACGTAGCTTCTGGCGAAATAAATAAGGGCGGTGTTTCTCATGATGAACAAGCATGTGCAGCTGGGAAGCTCATGGGGGAGGTTCATCTGGCTTGTTAAGGACACGAGCCCTTGTGACCTCATCGCGGAGCACCGCAATTTGGTGCTGAAGATGATTATAACGTGTAGCAATATCATCAGAGTCATTGGACTCATCAGAAAATTCACTAGTGGTGTTGGAGGAAAGGGTGGGTGAGGAGGTGATGTCCATGGTTGAATTAGAGTTGGAATCAGAGTTGGAATTGGAGCTGGAGTCAGAGTTTGACTCCTGAGCTTCCAACACCTGCTGATATTGGAGTTGGGCTAATGACAGTGCAGCTCTATCAACTGCACCAAGAATATCTTGCCTGGTGGATGGGCGAGGCATGGTGAGAGCTCAAGATCGAGAGATGATTCCCTTATTATCCCCCCTAACTGATGTGCGATGATAAGCGGAGTTTCAATCAGAGTTTTAAATTTTACCACGGTCAGCGTGCTAAGTCTAGCTCATCTTGCATGACAGCGAGCAACCTACCATCCCCACTGTGCTGTCCATTACCCTCAACAACTCCGGATATGAGGATGCCCCTCCCAGATCTTTCCCTGCTCCTTCATCATCCTATACCTCCTGATGGCCCAGCTCTTTCCCTGCTTCTTCATCATCCTATACCTTCTGATGGCGCTGCGGATTTCCATGCGCTCCCAGATCTTTCCCTGCTTCTTCATCATCCTATACCTCCTGATGGCACTGCAGATTTCTCTGCGCTCGTTCGTCCACGTGGGGGGGCTGATGCCTCTATGAATCTACCTGGTCCTCAGCTCCCTCCCAAAAACCATCAGCCGCTTCCCCCAGACCCTCAGCTCCCTCTCTGGAGCCCACCTGATACTAGCGCTCAGTGCGCTCCTCCAAGCATTTGGCCCAGTCCCATGGGCGCTCAGCGCGCTCCTCCAAGCACTCTGCATCCCCCCCATTCACAGCACCCCCCTCCTCATTTTTCCGGCACTGGGGGCAGAAGCGGCCATACGCGGCTTTCCCTTCTCCCCCTCCCATGGAAAAAAAAACCTTCCTTCTCCCACGGAAGCCCCAGATGCCAACATACCACAGTCGCGAGGTGTTTGGCTCTGCTCCCTTCCCCTCTCCTCGTGACACTTGTTCACTCGCGCAATTGTGGGATGGGTCTCGGTGCTCATTCATTGTTTGGAGGCTGACAGACTAATTACTTTGACATATCTACGTATATCTATGTTCTCTATCATGTGCGCTACCCCCAATATCTTCCATTATCTCTCAGAAATGCACAAGTATTGTTTTGAACTCTGATCTGTGCCAGCCGTCTATAGCCGAGTTTTTTCAAAGTTTACCGAGTCTTAGTTATGTTTTAGTGAGTTTAAAAAATCTACTCTGAGTCCCACTAGTATAAATAAATGAAATAGTAAACTCACTATAACTATTAGATTGAGGACTAGGCTGGGTGGACAGAGGTAGTTTGAGTTCAGAGCTTGCAGATTTAGAGTTTTTTGAAAATAAGGGAATGGCAGTATCACTTGCAGGTTCTAGAACAACAAATAAAATAAGCTCACCAGTTGTCATAATATTTGAGAGATAAACTCTTTCTAAGTTTCTTTTGGACTGCTTTCCTAGTAGCTTCTGATGGTGATGGGGAAAGCAAAGTGTGAGTGCACTTTGCTATTTAAATGAATAAGTATAGTATCATACTATAAGTTGAATCATAAATAGTACTCACTGTTTTGACTTCTCATTGGTGACCTAGTAGGTGCTGCTTTAAAGCACCTTGTCTTTGCATTTTGAGTCCTTAATATCTGAATCCGAGGACATATCAAGTTTCATCAATGAAGTTGCAAGATCATTATACAACTTGATGCTAACTGAATTACCTGTGTTGAACAAAAGGATGTCATTACTGTCATCATATTCAATATTTAATCCAGCTATGATAGGTTGAGTGTTTCAAGACTCATTGTCATATCCCATATATTCACGCTTCTCTTCCGGACTTCGGACCCTTAGATCCGGTCCGGTCTGATGCATAGATCCGCGTCCGGTCCGATATCCGATAAGCTTCTTAATTCATTTCCTGTTCATATAACGTTAAACACAGCCTATTCGGTATTTCCTCTTCCCGGTGTCTCGGTTATACTATTACTGGTATGATTACTGATCCGTTATCCTATGCTTCATTTCCGACTCGCGTTTGATAAGCTTTGCATATGCTTCGTACATAGCCTCGGACCTTTGCTTATTGATCCTTCTGTTATCCTCTTAGTATATAAACCCGTGTATATTTCCTGTAGTACCTCAGTTCGAATATCATCTTAGTTTGTCCTCTTTCTGTCCTCCGGACTTGAGTCTAATCAACTCTTGTCGATCTCTGAGACTTCGGATCGATTCCGATAGTCTATGTCTCCGCCTCTATCTTCGGATAGTCTATACTCTGTTTGTTTCTAGTCCGGATCCGTCCGGATTAGTCTTATACGTGTTTCCGATATCTGGAAGTCATCCGGATATAACTACGAGACCCGTCCGGACCTTCGGACGCGTTATCGTTAGTCTCTGAAATAAGGGACAGTACTTGGGAAAGGGGCACAGCGTACGAGCTGAGGCCGAAGTCCTTCGGATCCAATCCTACGAGAGTACGACCTTAACAGTATATTCGAACTCACACCTTTCCAAGTACACTTACTCATATCATGGCTCCTACTAAAGTAAACCAAGCCGCTCTGCACGCAGTCGGACTCTCATCCAGCCGACGCGATCCAACCTCCATAGTTAATGCCTTCACCAGTTTCTCGCAGCGCCGTGTCTCAAGCGTTCCTGCTCAAAGTATTTCTCAACTCTTGAATCGTCCGCATCCGGTGACTCCTACGCCTACGCGTACTGCCGCTGGAGGACCTCCAGATGATGAAGGACCCGATGATGAAGACCCTCCGGATGATTTCGGAGGTAATCCGGATGATGATCTGGACGATGACGACGAAAATGATGGACTAAACCCACAAGACCACATCATGCTCCAGCTTTTCGAAGCCATTGACAATCTCGCACGCAACAACCGTCGTCCCATCTCGTCCGAAGATTCCAAAGTCAAGATCCGCGAACCCGATACTTTCAATGGCACTGAGCCTCGGAAGCTTCGTGCATTCTTCGTCCAATGCGAGCTTCATTTCCAAAGCAAACCCAAGTCTTTCCGTACCGGACGGGCTAAAGTCAACTTCGCCCAATCCTACCTTAAGGGTATGGCACTCGAGTGGTTCGAACCGGACCTCCTATCCGACGAGGACGATGATCGTCCGGATTGGATGGATGATTACTCCGCATTCATGTTAGAATTACAAACCAATTTCGGACCTCACGATCCGTCCGGTGACGCGGAACAACAACTCGAACAACTTCACATGCGTGACGGACAACGCATTAATAAATATGTTGTTGAGTTTCAGTGTCTTGCTTCACAAGTCCGTGGCTGGGGTGATGGTGCCCTAAGACGCCAATTCTATAACGGACTTCCGGCTCGTATCAAAGATGAAATCAGTCGCATGGGTAAGCCTTCTACCCTTTCCGAATACAAGACCCTTGCCCAGACTATTGACACACGATACTGGGAACGGAAGGGAGAAGTTGCCCGCGAAACCAAACCCACCACCTCCAATCCACCTAAGCAACCCACTTCGGACCGGACGAATTCCAACCCGTCCGGATCCGCGAGATTCAAATCCGACAAACCCACTACTTCCACATCCTCCTCCGCCTCTAAAGCTCCGGACCTTACCTCCAAGTTAGGAAAGGACGGAAAGCTCACGTCCAAAGAACGTAAAAGACAGATGGATAATAAACTCTGTCTATTCTACGGCGGACCCGGCCATTTGGCTCGGGAATGCACCAAGTCTACTTCGCGCGCTGCCAAAGGCCGTGCTGCAGTAGTCACTCCGGAAGACAAACTGGAGGCTTCGGATGAAGCAAAAAAATAGTCCGCAACCCTCCTGACTCCGCACGGGATGAGGGTTGCGTTGACTCTACCCGTGCAACGGAGCTACGTCTCAACACTGTTTCTCTTTCCGATCCGAACTCTCTATGTCCATACATTTCTCTTCCTACTTTTCCTGATATTTCCTCGTTTCCTTCTCTAATAGATTGTGGTTCCTCACATTGTTTTATAGACTCTGATTTTGTCCGAAAAAATAAAATCCCTACATATCCGATACCTCCGCTTTCTCTCCATTTGTTTGATGGTACTTGTAATAATATGATTTCCGAAGCTATAGATTTGCCCATTCGTTTTCCGTCCGGTGTAGTCACCTCCGATACGTTTTACATTACTCCGTTGGATTCTTCTTGTTTTATCGTTCTAGGATATAGCTGGCTCACCCTACACAATCCGTTGATTGACTGGGTTTCGGGCAGCATTGATTTCCGAACGACTTCTCATGGAATGCCTTCGACACCTCCGACGTCGCTTCCGTCTCCGGATACCCCTCCTCCGATGGAAGATTTACCTCCTCTGACTACATCCGGAACCTCCGCTGATAAAACCATCCCCAATATTTCCTTGATAAATGCAGTTGCCTTTTGCCGGGCCTGCAAATTGGAAGGATCAGAACAGTTCAGCATCTACCTTCGTCCGACCGGTGTAGACCTCCGGTCCGCTACCCTTTCGTCCGATCCTCCGGACCTATCCGGAATTCCTCCGGAATATCATGAATTTTCGGATGTGTTCGATAAAGGCAAAGCTAGCCAACTTCCTCCTCATCGTCCCTACGATCTCAAAATCGAGTTAGAGGAAGGAACTAGTCCACCCCTCGGAACCATTTATTCTCTATCTGCAGTTGAGCTCGCAGCCCTCCGGAAGTTTCTTGATGAAAACATTTCCTCCGGACTCCTCCATTCCTCATCCTCTCCTCACGGAGCTCCCGTCCTGTTCGTCAAGAAAAAGGATGGCTCCCTTCGCCTCTGTGTAGATTTCCGTGGACTTAACCAGATTACCAAGAAAGACCGATATCCATTACCCCTCATTACCGACCTTCTAGACTCTCCGAGCCGCGCTAAAGTATATACCAAAATCGACCTCCGATCCGCTTATCACCTTGTCCGGGTAGCGGAAGGAGACGAATGGAAGACTGCTTTCCGAACGCGCTATGGCTCTTATGAATGGTTGGTGATGCCGGAAGGTCTCACTAACGCTCTGGCCGCATTCCAACGCTTTGTCAATAGCGTGTTTGCTGATATGCTGGATGTATGCGTTATCGTATATCTGGACGACATCCTCATCTATTCCCAAGACCTTGCATCCCATAAGGAACATGTCCGAGAAGTTCTCCTCCATCTCCGAAAACATCGACTCTATGCTAAACCCGAAAAATGCGTGTTCCACACCACATCCGTTGAATACCTTGGTTACCTCCTATCTCCGGACGGCTTGACCATGTCGTCCGAGAAGGTCCAGGCCATTGTCGATTGGCCGGAACCTCGGAAAGTTAAGGATATTCAATCCTTCCTTGGATTCGCAAATTTCTATCGTCGATTCATTTTCAATTACTCGGATATTGTAGTTCCGCTCACCCGTCTTACCCGCAAGGGGGTTACTTGGGACTTTTCCGATGATTGTCGGAAGTCTTTTGAAACACTCAAGAAAGCTTTCACGTCTGCTCCGGTGCTTACGCACTGGATTCCGAATGTTCCGATAGTCGTAGAAACCGACGCCTCTGATTACGCTATAGCCAGTATACTTTCCATAGTATGTCCGAACTCAGAGCTTCGTCCGGTAGCCTTTTATTCTCGGACGCTTACCGCTCCGGAACTCAACTACGACACTCACGATAAGGAACTTCTAGCCATCCATGAAGCTTTTCGGACATGGTGACATTACCTTGAAGGCTCTGCTGAGCCGATAGACGTTGTCACGGACCACAAGAACCTTGAGTACTTCTCTACCACAAAACTCCTCTCTCGCCGTCAGGCCCGCTGGTCGGAATTCCTCCATCAGTTCAATCTCGTCATCCGTTTCCATCCCGGAAAACTCGGAGCTAAACTGGATTCCCTTACTAGACGCTGGGACGTCTACCCTAAAGAGGGGGATAAGGACTATGCTCGAGTTAACCCTCATAATTTCCATCCGGTATTCACTTCGGAACAGTTAGCTTCGTCCCTACGAGCCTCAACCTTAGCAACTCCGGTTCTTAGGGCAGCCGTTCTG